CATGCATATAAACATGTAATCAAATAAACACAGTTGCTTACTGCCTTTAAAGTCAAATCACAAATAAAAATAAACTTTAGGTTCCCTGAAGCACTATTTGTAAATAATTAAATATTGAAAAAGAACCCTAAAAACAAATCCAAAACTAGCAGAATTTTTACTTCTGGAAAATGGTAGAGCCACAGAAAATTCTGGCTCTGTTGCTCAACATGCAATGAGATCTCAGCTTCAGTGCCCAGTAGTACACCAAAAAGAATATTCTGCCTATTAAAACGATGTATTACAACATATATCATACACACTTTGAAACCATTTACATTAGTGTGTGTGTGTGTGTGTGTGTGTGTGTGTGTGTGTGTGTGTGTGTGTGTGTTGTACACGTGCCACAGAACACACCTGGAGGTCAGAGGAAAACTTTTGGGAGTCAGTTCTCTACTTCCATTGTGTAGGTCTCAGGAATGGAGCTGAGGTTGGCTGCAAATGACCTGACATGCTGAGCTAGACAGCTAGACCTATCTCACCAGCCGAGAGCTAGATAATAGTTTTAAATATGTATGGTAAGTGTGGAAATGTAATGCCACAAAAACATTTTTAAAAGATTTGCTTTTATTACAATTTGTAATTCTGATATAGATATACACACACACACACACACACACACACACACACACACACACACACACAAAAGATTTGCTTTTATTACAATTTTTAATTCTGATATCTATCTACACACACACACACACACACACACACACACACACACACATATATATATGTCTGTCTGTCTGTCTGTATGCACATAAGTACAGATGCCTGCAAAGGCCAAAGGCATTAGGTTCCCCATAAGCTGGAGTTACAGGCCTCTACAAGAGTCAGCTCTGCTCTTAAACCCCGAGTCATCTGTCCAGCCCCTACAATTTTTATGTATGAGATAGACAGCTGCATGAAACAAAACCAAGGCCTATAAATATGGGAAAAGAAGACTGACAAGAAGCATATGGAGGTGTATTCCAATGAGTCAACTCACAGATTTAAATCTTTTCTATCTTTATTTTTCCAAGAATTGTACACTTGCATGATTCGGGGATAAAATATATGGTATAATATCAATAAGTGTGTAGCTGAAAGTTTTCCTGTGTCCTGCCTGGCCCACGGTCAGGATAAATCTCATCCGCCAGTCCCATAGCTGCTCAGACCCAAATGAACACACAGAGGCTTATATTAATTACAAACTGCATGGCCTACTGACTCAGGCTTCTTGATAGCTAGATCTTACATCATAAATTAACCCATTTCTATAAATCTATACTTTGCCACGTGGCTCATGGCTTACCAGTATCTTTATATCTTGCTTCTCATGGCAACTGGCAGCATCTCCCCTGCTCTGCCCTTTCTCTTCCTTCCTCTCTCTCTCTCTCTTTAGAATGTCCCACCTAACCTTATTCTGCCTCATTATTGGCCAAACAGCTTTATTTATCAATCAGTCAGAGCAACACATTTTCACAGCATACAGAATGACATCACCCATCATTTCCCCTCTTCTTTCTATTCAAAAGGAAAGTTTCAACTTTAACACAGTAAAATTATATATAACAAAACAGTTATCAAGCAAGAATTATAGTTATAATAGCTAGTCTATTTGTATTTGGCAAAATCAAAGAAGATATCCTATCTATCCTGTATTTGTGAGTCCAAGGTTTCATATCTACCTTATCTCCTGTCAAAACCAAGGAAAAGCAAAATTATAACTATCTAGTCTTCAACTACATCAAAGACCTCGGAAGGATACAATATTCTCTAAGTAAACAGGAAGACGATTGTAAGCAACTTCCAAAAAATCTAGAATGACAGAGACAGCTGGCTGCCTGGACAGTTACCCAAAGTTCCTCTGCAATGTTGGGGCATCATTTTCTAAGCTTATAAACTGTTGATGGGTTTTATGAAAGCTTCAATAAACAAGTGTAACTTTTCTTTATTTAGGGTAGTGTCTAATGTTTACACCCCAGTTTCTCATCCTTTTTGTGGCTTATACAAGCTTCCTGAAGCTGTAAGTCGAGTTCCAAGTAGTGCAGAAAAGCCAAGCTCTGAGCTCTAAGATAATAAACCTCCTGGTCTCCCCCAACCACTCTACCTTCTCTTTCACTCAACAAACTTTCACCTTGAGCCCAGTGCCATACTAGAAGTTAAGACCAGAAGTAGGTGGGACTCACTTCTCTTTTGAAAGACTTCCTTCTCAGGCAGGATGAGAGACCAGGAGACAGGAAACACCATCAATGCCTGGTAGGCTGGGAAAAGAATGTCGAAGCTGGTGAGTTCAATGGGAGGACTTCTAGCCTTGTCACGCACCTGTGTCCATAGCAAGGTAAAGTTTAACATCTTTCAGCAGTTGGGCATGAGCATGTTGCCAGGTAAGCACGACTCATGTCCAGCTGCAGCAGACACAGAGGCAGCAAGAGGATACAGGCACTGATTGGGTCGGGAGGCTGTGAAAAATCACCAGCTGGTTTGGAGTCATGGGCTTTGTTAGGAGAGGCAAGATCACAAGGAGTCAGCGTGAGAGGAGTTTAGCCAGAAGCCTTGGACAGGAATCCACAGGCTGGCAGCAGACGTTGGGGAGCACGGTGGACATGCGAAGGCCTTTATTTCAGAAAGATGATGCTGGCAGTGTGGAGGCTGCTTGTTCAAAGAAGGTTCAGCAGGGGCCGAGATGCAAACAAGGTGGCTGCAGTAGTCTGAGGGCTAACTAGGATTGTCTAGAGCCTTGCAGTGGCGGGGGGTCGGGGGTGGGGGGTGGGGGGTGGGGGGTGGGGGGGGTGGGGGTTGGGGGGTGGGGGGTGGGGAGCGGGTGGGGTGGGGTGGCGTGGCGGTCAGGAACCCTCTCATGGAGGGGCGAGGAAGGTACAGATGGCAACTGTGAAGACTGGTTATGGGGAAGAGTGGGGAGAGAAAGCAAGGATGGGCAGATTGGTGGTGGTGAATCAGGGATCTAGTCTTTGAGGACAGCTTAGGACAGGAGACAATAAGGAGGCAGCACTAAGTGGGCAGGCACTCTAGAAATGGGTGATAGCACCCTGGTGCTAGAAGTCAGAATCCCTGGAAATGATTTCAGAGGGCCATTGAAGGGTCGTCTGGGGCTAACCGAGGCTCTCAGCTTTATGGAAATCAGTTTCTTTCCTGTGTCCCTGCTTGGTGAATGCTCAGTTCAAGTTCTTGGATTTTGCTGACTCTAGCAATGCAATGGTACACGGCAAAAGCAAGGCTTTGGAGCTGGGCTGACCCAGAGCCTTTTCTCCATTGAGGATAAAGCGGTCAGAAGCAACTCATCTCCCTGTCTTCCTGCCTGAAATACAGAGAGGGGCTGGGGGTGCAGCTCAGTGGTAAAACACTTACGCGGCATGTAGGTATTAAGTTCAATCCCCAACACCAGGAACAAAAGTCAAGAATGACATCTAACACTTGAGTTGTGGTTAGGGATACAGTGTTGTCTAAGCTAGCCATTGGTCACATGAAAGCTTTTAATGTGAACCACACAATGCATTACATAAGCTAAGTAAAAGTAGCCCTGGGTAAAGACGTATCTACAAACGTACAACCTTCAGGCCTTGAGGTGGGAGGAAGACCATGCCCCAGGAGATGTCAAAATATACTGAAGAGGGACCAGTGGCAGGGCCTTACAGGAAAAGGGGAGGCTTCCCATGTAAACCTGGAGAGGAGTTTCATTTAAGACTGAAAATGAGGAGAGGGAGACAGAGAGCGAGCCCTCAAGAGTACACGGCCACAAGAGGGTTGATGGGAGAAGGCCAGAAGGGCCTCTTCAGAGAGAGCAATCTTCAGAACTCCTCCTCGACCAAATCCCCAGGGAAGTGTCCAGACCAAGCCCCAACAAAGGAGAAATCGGATTTTTTACAACCTGTTAGGGGAAGCTGCACATCAAGTGCTTTAGTTCAATAGCATACGTGACAAAGAGCTGGAAGAGCCAGGTGCCAGTTAGGACCATAAATCAGGGGCTCCAGTCAGACCTCAGCTCAGACGGCTTCTTAACAATCTGAGAGGGCTGCAGGGATCTCTTCAAGCTGTGGGGCTTGGCCCTTTTAAAAGTGACCACTGTCAGTTTGCACTCTCTCTCTCTCTCTCTCTCTCTCTCTCTCTCTCACACACACACACACACACACACACACACACACACACACACACACTTATATTTTATTTTTATGATATATGATCTGATCTCTCACTATGTAACTGGGACTGGCCTCAAACCCTCCTGGCTCAGTTTCCCAAATGAAATGAGTTTTCATGTGAACATTAGCACACCAGGCAAGTAGGCAAACTGCTAATGTGTTGATTGGTGCTTGAGTTAGCTCTGGCAAGTCAGTACTTAGCAGGCAGATTAGAAAGTTAAAAATAAAAGTGTGGGTTTTAATAAGCGACGCTGTCACCGCGTGAGAAAGGTCACGAGGCACGACAAAACCCATTATCAGAGTGGAGTTTTATTAGAAGGGAGAAGGGAGGGACAGAAGATAGCATGACCAGGCCTGGGGAAGAGACACATGCAGAGAGAGAGAGAGAGAGAGAGAGAGAGAGAGAGAGAGAGAGAGAGAGAGAGAGAGAGAGGAGGGGAGGAGAAGGAGAAGAAGAAGAGGAAGAGGAAGAGGCGAGAGAGGTCTGTGATCTGCTTCTTATGGATTCCCCTGCACATACGCATATGGGCTTACAGAGCACCCTGCACCCGCAGATTGCGTGACCACATTGTGTGCATGCAGTGTACGGATTACACGGATTACGTAGGACGTAAGAACCCTTGCTTGGCTACTGAACTGCACATGTGCAGTCATATAGCTGAAGGAGTGGCCGGGAATTCCAACCGAAAGGGCTGCTTTGTTGTCTCTATATTCTGAGTTTTGGAAGATGACTACACAAATTACAAATGTGTGATCCGATCAAGCTCTCCAATACCCCCACCCAGCATTACTTTTAGCCATCTGTTCCAGACAATGGAATCAACCCAAGTAACAACTTTATTCTAATCTACAGCACGAGTTTTTATATACATTTTAGTGGTTTTGACAGTGTTGCTTATGAGCAGACTTTAAATGAATCCACAAAAGTTAATATATTTAAAGTAAAATATTATACACAGTAAAACAACAGGCAGCTAAATGTTCAGGATCATGCATATAGAATAGTCCAGCTGGTTTTATCCTTGGGTACCCATGCCTACTGAAGAAATCACCAGCCAGTATCAGTTCTTCCGTCATTCCTCGACAATTTACCCAAATCAGAGCCTGAACATACACATAAAATAAACTTTCTTTTAAAATTACAACGGTACAGAATTTCAATTCATAAAGTGTATCTTCAATCTGACAGTTCCATTGAGCAAGCCTATTTCTAGACTAATAGGTTATATTAAAGTCTGATCTAAAGGCAGGTGACTTCATTTCTCATAAACACCAAGAAAGATAGCAACAAAGCAACTAATACAACAATCTTAATATAAGACATTGAGAGAAAACTAGAATATATAAATACCACTCCACTGAGTCAGCATAAAAACATGGACTACTGATATGAGTTTCTATGTGTCAATCAAAGTTTTATATATGGTATGAAAAAAATTGTATATTGACAAATGCAGAGGAAAAGGCAGAAATGTGAATTTATGCGTCTAGTCCCACAATTTAAAATGGGTATCAAACTGATACAATAAAGTTCAGTGACTTAACCTCGATGACCGAACCACTGCCACCAGAGTGACAGTCCAACAATTCACCATAATTCAGAACGCTCGGAAGAAGTGTCTGGCAGATGGTCAACCCAACAATACTATTATAATACGCACAGGGTCCTCCTCCACTGTGGAAAGAGACCCTGGAGAAACCATGGCAAAGGCCTAGAGTAAAGTTATGTCTTCTGAAAAAGCTGATGATATCAAAATACTTTCTCAGCCCCGGTGGACCACACCAGGTCAAGGATATCAGCTCCACAGCAGTACTGAGTTCAGGGTCAGAGATTGGCAGAAAGGTTCAGAAAACTGCAGTCATTTTTTTTTTTTAAATTGGCAAATTCTCCACACTTAATAAAACCATCAGAAGAGGTATGTTTGTTTGTGGAATGTTGACCGCTCCCTGCAAAACTTCACATGAATGAGGAACCGTGTGGGTGCACGTCAATGGAATAGCTCTTTAAAAATTTACAAAAGAACTAACGCCTCTTTTTAAAAAATAACCATGTTATGTCAAGATGAAACATGGTAAAAAGTAGTGTTACGTTTCCATGATTCTTTACACAGTGAATGGGAAAAGTGATAGAAACGACTTTTTGTTTTTTTCTTAAAAAGGAAGCTGCATTATTGCACTGACTTTGACAACCTGACCTAGGAATTTAGAAAAAATCATCTAGTAAAATCTGTAAAACGAAAATACAAAATTCTGGTTTGTAAACATCAGTTGGCCAAGTCTATCCAGAGTCCTTCATGATCGTGGAATGGAATGAGAACTAATCACTACCTTATCGGTTGGCTGTGAGGAGGAAAACTCCAGGGCACAGCTTTGATACTTTCACAGTAATTAGAGTCAAAAAAATTAAACGAAGTCAGTGCAAGCTGCTCATTCTTCTCCCCTGCGCGACAGTCAGCTCTTACCCCCACTCAAGTGCCTCAACTGAGATAATACTGGTTTGAAGACCTAGCACAGGTTGGTCACAAATGTCGAATGAAGTCCGTGGGACTTCGGTAAAGGTACTTCCAAATGGCATAGTAGTGCACAGCAGCTGCTGTGGCCACGAACAGGTGCCAGATGGCATGGGCAAATGGAATGATGCCGTCACTCTTGAAGAACACAACTCCCAAGCAGTAGATCAAACCCCCGCAAGCGAGCTCCTGAAGTCCATCGGTGTTATTCTGTCAACAGAGCAAAAGGTGGGATGTTACTTCGATGTCACAAGGGAAGAGTTACCTTCCTTCCCCCAAAGGCTCCTGGTTTTCTACATATTAAGAAGTGTCGTGTGAACAACACCCTAATCTGGAAACATAAAGCAAACCTAAAATGTCTCGCCCCGAATGACCTGGAGTACCCTTTGGATCTGCAGGCATGATCTGACCGTTGGACACATTACAGGCTCCACGGGACAAGGTGGCGATTCTGCTCATTTAACTGTGTATCTAAGCGGATTGTAATCACAGCTGGCCATAAAGTGCCTCCAAAGGCTGCATGATCCTCACTTCCCAGACTGCTCTTTGAAAGCTTCGTTCCACATGCGGCAGGCCCAATAAACTGGTTTATAATTTATATCTCATCCAGGCTTGTCACATGCCTTTGACCTCTCTAGTACCATCTATACTGATTGCTTTTTTAGATCTTTGCAGCATGTATGAATTTAGGGCATCTTGACTGCTGACAAGGGACACGTCATACAGCCCGAGGGATTTCCTAATTTGCCCTGTGCTTCCAGGTGGTAAAGTAAGTCCTGTGTATTTTGGGTCAAAAGCCAGAATTGTTAAGGCTGTCTTGGGAGAGTCAAAGGCCCAGCTACAAGAGTAAACTGTAAACTGACTTGAATGAATGAGGTGGTAATGGAGGTGGCACTGGTAGAAAGCCAAGCCAGCTGGTAGCTAGGCTTTGGAAGAGAACAAGAATGTAGATGCCCTAAGACAGCTGAGTGCTAAAGGCGGCAGCCTCGGGGCAAGGCCATGTGGCCCCAAGGTCCCAGTGGCCAAGTCAGGCAAAAGCAAGAGGAAATTCCAGCTCAGCCACCTGCTAAGAAGGAGCCTGTGGGCCCAGGCAGAAGCAATGACAACAGACTAGAGACACTAAGTGCCAGGCGGCAGGACATAAGGCCAGGTGTGATAAATAGCCCTGCTTTCAGCATTCATGGGGACCTCTGGGTTTGGTAGGATTAAAAGATTGGGGAGGGCTCAAAAGGACCCATATCAGACTTTCTTTATTCTTGGGCAAGAAGAGACTTCAACCAGACTTTAAAAACAAAAACAAAAGCACACGCCTTTAATCCCAGCACTAGGGAGGCAGAGGAAGGTGGATCTCTGTGAGTTTGAGGCCAGCCTGGGCTACAGAGTGAGTTCCAGGACAGGCTCCAAAGCTACTCAGAAGTAGCTATCTCAAAAACCCTGTCTCAAAAAACCAAAAACCAAAAAAAAAAAAAAAAAAAAGACCCCAAGCCAATTTAACACACACACACACACACACACACACACACACACACATATTACTTCATACAGGTTATGGGGCTACCGACACCCATCATACAACATCTTTGTATGTGCATTAGGAGCATAAAGGCTGCCACAGATTCTTAGGGGAGCAGGAACCCCAAGTGGAAGTGTCACTCATGCAACACCACCTCCTTATTTGTAGGGAAGTAAGAGAGTAGCCTGATAAAGTCACATGGGGGGCCACTGTGCTCTGTTCTCAGAGACACCACGATTTGGTTTTGACACACTCCAATCCTTCTTGTCCAAATAAGCAAGAGATCCAATCAAGTACACCAGTAAATTTTTAAATACATTCTATTGAGAGACGGTTCCTTGAAACACATTTACCTCCTCAGACACTCAAAGACTAGGAGAGACTGAATGCCAGAGCAAGTCAAGTGTAGTCTTTGTGACTCATGGCGTTGCTGGCACAACCTGGTAGACACATTGTGAAGCACTCATGTGTATTTATTCCCTCTAATCTTTGTGACCCTAAATTGGGTACTATTAACTGTCAACAACATTTACTGACAAGAAACAGAGAGGTTAAGTACTTTTCTCAAGGCCATGCAGTTTCCTAGTGTCAGAATTGGGATATGGACTAAAGTGTGCCGACTTCTGAACCTTCACTTGGGACTGGGGAAATGGGTGTTTTCAAAACAGGAGTTTGTGTGACTAATTCTGTGAAGTATACAGATCAGGCAGAACAGAATGAGTTTGATTACATTGATTACATCCATATAACCCTAATACCCCTTAAGTTCTTTGTGCCCCCTTGCCAACCAATCCTGGACCCCTCCAGTCACCAAGGCAAGCACTGTTCTTAATGCTACCAGCACACATACAAGGCCCACCTGTTCTAGACCTTCACATAAATGGGATTAAACTGCTTATTTTCTGGGCATCACATAAATCCAAGTGCATATTTTTCAATTCTTTTTCTCTCACTCTTTCCTCCCTCCCTTCCTTCTTTCTCTTCTCTCTCTCTCTCTCTCTCTCTCTCTCTCTCTCTCTCTCTCTCTCTCTCTCTCTCTCTTCCTTCCTTCCTTCCTTTCTTTTTTTGCTTAGTGGTTCCTTCATTGAACATAACTTATTAATTCTTGCCATTTTGGGGACTGTTATGAATGAGACTAATCTTAACTTCCTAAGTCTTCTTGAAGATATGTGTTTCCATTTCTGTCAAGCAAACCACTGAGTCACAGGATAAATGCATGCTTAATTTGATTAGAAACTAAAAATTTCAGAAACGAAACTGTTGGAGGTGGGCCCTATCATTTTATACACTACACAGAGGTGGGGCACAGTATTTCACATCCTGGCTGCTAGCATGGACCTCATCTTTTTAATCATAACTGTTCTATGGGTTATGTTGTGGCAGTCACGGGGGTTTTAACTTCCATTTTCTTGACCACTAATTACATGCATGTGTTGTCAAAGGGCTATGGGTTCTCATATGAATTTTTTTTTCTTTCTGTTAAAATCTTTTACCCATCTTTAAAGGACTTTAGGATTGATTTGGAGGTTCATAGACTGAGCATATTTAACAGGTGGCTGCTTTCAGGACATATGTCCTTTATCACAGACACAGCAAGTACTTCCCACCAGACTGTGACTGCCTGTCCATTTTCTTCATTGAGTCCTCAGAGAAGCAAAGACTTTCATTTTGAAAAACTCCCCAACATAATTTTTCTTCTGTTATGGTCTTTATTTCTGTGGCTCACAAAATCTGTGCCTGGTAATACTGATGACAAGATGTTCCAGGTTTCCTGAAGTTTCTGTTTCCAAGAAATCTCATGCTTCCTGCTTTACAGCTAAGCCTAGACTTCAAATGAAGTTTGTGGATGACATGAAATTGATACTCAAAATGTTCTAAACCTTGTCTTAAAAACATTTCCCTTCTTCCACTGAGTTGTGTTCACATATGCCATTACCTCCTAAATAAATAGAAATATCTATAATCATTTTTTCCTGGACATGCCCATGATACAGTTCCAGCAGCCAGCGGCCTTGTGTGCTGACATCAGACAACAGAAGACCCCAGATGTGGCAGAGCCCTCTGTGGGCTCCAATCTTCTTCAGCTGCCCTAGGTCCTCACAGAACTTGTCTAGACCATTGGTCAGAAGCTCACTGTACTTTCCATCCTTTCTCTCCTCTCAGTTCAGGAACCTGTCTGGGAACTTAACTGTGATCTTGTATTCCACCCCATCCTCCCTGAGTTCTCCAGCCCTCTTGGTGAGGCCAGTGTCTGCTTTCTCCATGACCACACAAACATATCTCCTTCCCACACCCTTAAGGACAGTGGTGGTTACCTTCTGAATCCCATTGATGTTAGTGTTGAGAGTACTCACAACATGTGCCCAAATTCCTCAGGGATCACTAGAGACATGGCAGGTGGCACAAGCCGGTGTGAGGCCTCCTCAGGAAGGATGCCATTACTTCTTGTAACCTTGTATCCAACTGCATTGCTAAACTCATTCTTAATGTCCAGGACTTTGCTGTAAATACCTGCTTCTATGCACTGATGGTCATCCACAGATAAAGTCACTTTCCTGTTCTTCTCCATTGGCATGCTTTTGTTTCTCTTATCTCTTCCTGCATAGCTAGAACAGCAGCTGCACGTTGACTAGAAGTAGAGAGGGTTACTGCCTTCTTATCGATCATTGTCTTTCACAAAAAAACATTTGCTGGTAGCACTGTTTAGAAGCGTCCTTTGTCGGATATGTGAAGTTTCTAAGTTTGCACTTTCCTTCCTCTGTTGAGATAACCAGTCTTTCTCCTTGATCCTCTCAATGTGGCAAATTTCAATGATTGATTTCTAAGTGATGTACCAACCTTGCATTCCTACATGAAATGTAACCTGATTATGACTCTTTTTACATTCTCATGACACTACATTGGCTGATATTCTGTTGGAGCCTTCTCTGTTTCATGAATATTGGTTAGTGGTTTTCCTGCAATGTGTGTTTGATTCTCAGGGTAATATTGGCCTTAGAAAATGAACTAAGAGTGTTCCTTCCACTCCTGTTTTGTTTGTTTGATTGATTGATTGATTGATGATTGATAGCCCTCAGGTAGCTCTGGCTAGCCCTGAACTCTTGATCTTTCTTCCGTTACCTCCCAGGTACTAGAAATGTCCCATCTTACTGAGCTCTACTCCACTTGTGAAAGTTTGTGTAGAAGTATTATTATTCTGACTCTAGGTCTAGAATTTGCTAGAATGTATGAATAAAGCTACCAGGCTTTGGAAGTTTGTTTGTTTATTTGGAGGATGCTTCTGGCTATGCATTTAGTTTCCTTATATATTATTACAAGGATATCAAATCTTTGTTTCTTCTTCAGTCTGTTGTAGGGAAAATGATTCAATAAATGTGTCCACTTCATCTAAGCTACTGTATTTATTGATATCAAGTTGTTGACAATTCCCCTTCATCATCCTTGCACAGCTGCAGGCTGTGGTGATATTCCGCATTCCATGCCTCATAATGGTAGTTTATACTTACTCTACTTCCGGTTCAGTCTACTTAAGTTTTACTGATTGTAACCTTTTCAAAGAGACAGTTTTTGGTTTCATTGATTTTTCTCCAATTGTTGATCCATTCCCATTCATTTTCTCTCTCTCTCTTCCTAGGAATTGAACCCAGGGCCTCCTACACGCCAAGTAACTTCTACCACTAAGCCACATCCACAGCCCTCCAATTATTTCTTCACTGTTAGCTACTGTAGGCTAGACTTACTCTTCCTTCCCATCTGAAGGTAGATGCTTCCATCACTAAGCTTCAAACCTTCTTCTTTCTATTACTCAGAGTTCTTCAAAGAGCTACAGCTGCGGGGAGCTGAGGCGGCCCTGAGTGAGTGAATGTGTGTTACTGACATGGGCACAGACACGGAGCGGTCACCAATGCCCCAGATGCATGAGCACTGGCAAAGCCTTTCTCTGGGAAAGACTCAGAGGGATGGCAAGGCCTCACTTTGGTCCAAATACTAATGTTTACCAAGGGCTGACCTATAGGGATATGTGAAAATTAGCAACTGCAGCCTCTTCCTTACAGACAACTGCAATCTGAGACTGCTCCCCTATGGAGACCTCCTACCAAGGCTAGCTAAGTCCTCCTTCTCATGCTGTGCATAATAAACTCCCTAGGGTTTTAGGCTACGCAATTGGAGTCCCTCCAGTAGAATGAGCGCAGCCCACCTGATCTCAGCTTTGTGTCTGTCCTTTCTTCACTCCCTCCTCACCCTAGTCAGGCTTCCGGGACTACCCTGTGCAGGACTAGGTGCAGAATCAGTAAGACACATGTTGGATGTCTGCTTGGAGAACAGACACGCATGCATGCGCATGTGTGTACTGACAGACTTTAAGGCACTGGCTTGTGTAATTATGGAGCAGCAAACCTGAATTCTTAAGGGGGCCAGGCAGACTGTGGTCCAGGTAATGCTGCTACTGCAGTTGGCATCCAAAGACAGCAGCATCCTTCCTAGGAAGGCCTCAGTCTTTTTTCTCTTAAGTCCCTTAGGTGACTGCTTAAGGCCCACCACATTACAGGGAACTACACTCTGTGTCTACTGAATCGAAGCAAGCATTCTGACGAAGTATCTTCACAACAATCAGGCTGGCAACTAGCAAACATCTAGGTACCATGGCCTCGTCAAGCTGACTCATACAATTAATCTGCACACTCAGAGGCATCTAAAGCACCGCACTCCTCAACACCGCTTGGGCTACAGCCCACAAACTGTCAGGCTGCATTTTCATTACTGGTCAATTCAAAGACCCAGGAGTTTATATACAAGTGTGTTGTTTAATCTTTAAATACGTGGGAGTTCTCTATCTTTTTTGGTGTGTGTGTGGGGGGGGCAGTTTCAATTTTTTAGCATCAAAGATGATTTTATAGTCTAGCATGTTGTCTATTTTGATCAGAGGACTTTGTATAATGACCTATTAGAATGTGGGGCCTTGTTGGAGGAAGCAGGTTGCTGGGGCGGGGTATGCCACTGAAGGGTTTAGCTTGTCCCTGGCTCCTTCTTAGCTATCTCTCTGTCTGCCATGAGGTGAGCCACCCTGCTCGCCACATGCTCCCTCCACAATGTGCCTGGCCATGCACAAGGCACAACCAACCGCCAAGTGACCACAGCCTAAAGCTTCTGAAGTTAGGAGCCAGAAGAAATCCTTCCTCCCCTCATGTTTTTGTGGCTTTTCATTTTGATTTTTGTTTTTTGTTTTTTTGTTTGTTTGTTTGTTTTTGTCACAGTGATTAAAAACAACTAAGACACGGGGCAGAGGAACTCTGGCCCCAAGGTGACTCTGGTCACCTGCAAGCTGGGTATGTTTGATGTCCAGTGTGGTTTCACCACTTAGGATGGTAGAAACACTACTCTTCCCGAAGCGGGTGCCTCTGGAATATCATTTTGCTCATCACCTTCAAATGGTCATTCTAAGTGAGGGCTTACACAATTTTGCCCTGCACAAATCCTGCGCAAGTCCAAACATACTCCTTTGTAGATTCCTGGAGGTTTCTCTCAGCAGCTCTCTCCTCCCTAGGTCCCTGCCCCGTGAACTGACTCACAGCTAACTTTTGGGCAGACTGCCGCTTTCCCGGCTCTCCCCTTCAGTTGCTACTTGGGGGAAGTGGTAGAATACGAAGTTCAGTTTCTGACTTCCTTCAAGCATCACAGTCCTGCACTCTCTGTGCTAGATGCTTTTTAATTCATTATCTCGTTTCATAGCTCCTTGTGGCAGAAGGATTAACTCGAGATCCGAGACTCCCCAGCTCCACAGCTCAGTGTTCACTCTTACATAACCCTTTTGATCTGGACTCTGTCTAGATCCCCCAGATAATTATCAATTCTCCAAAGAAGGTGGCGCTCTCCCTGAGGCGTGCTGTATCCTCTATTAGTAACACCTGCCTCATTCCAACCACTTCCTGGTTCCTACTTGTCTTTCTGAATCAGCTTACCTATCACTTATTTTAGTACTTCGATCTCATGTTCCCATAGCAACCTGAGTCCTCCACTCATCCCCCGAGCCAAGGACATTATAAAATTTTATTAGTCTCCTGCTGAACAGAAACTGTCTGCCTGTTGGCCCCTAAGTTCTGGGACAGCAGGGTGTGAATTATCCTCCTTCATTTTCATAGACATTAGTCACTGGCTATTATACCACCTATGAAAAGGCCGATTAAAGATTTGGGCTAGTAAAAATACCGGATAAACCTGCTTTTATGACAGCCAGAGGGAATTGACTTGAAATTCTGTTCTAATAATTAGTAACCAATCCACGCAGACTTTGCTTATATGGCTCTGGCTGTCCTGAATTGCCCTCTAACGATAAAACAGTCATGGCCCATTTTCTCATTTCGGTCACGTGCCTCCCTCTCATCCTCATTCTCTGGTGCCTTTACTGACTGAACTATATACACCTATGTATACACACACACACACATACAACAATACATGTATTTATATATGCAATAGTGCCAGGGACATCATCAAGCTCACATCTCAAGGATATATAATTTTTGGCATTTTCACAAGCCATATTTCCGGAATATTCAGCACCAGGGTTTAGCTCTGAGAGGCATTTTTCTGAGGAGTGTGGGCACCAGATAGTGGAATTATGTTCTCACACTGTATGTAAAAACTCAGTAATGAAATCTCAAGTACAATCCTGACTCAGGGCAAGTGAGGAAAAAGAAAAAAAAGAGTTCAAACTAAACAAGCTGGACTTCTTCAATTAACACAGTGGCTAATGCCCACCCAGTGTTGAACACAAGGCACCAGAGAACATAAGCAACTAGGCGGTACTGCTAGATCAGATTGCAATGTATATTCTGGATTCAAAGTGAGAGATGTGCATAGATTTCTAAACAGTAATTCAACTGGAAAGAGAATTGAAATTACACCCCATGCGAGAGTCCACTAAAGATAACAAAATACTTTAAGTTCCTAAAAGTTATTTTCAGGCAAGGTTAAAAGTAAAATAACAAACAAAGAAACGGCCACTTTCCTTTCTTAGAAAGAGAAATAATATTACTTAAAAGCAAATGGAAAAAAAATAGAGTGAAAAGGAACTGAAAAATACCCAACTGAAGCTAACAGTGTGCTTCTCTCTCTCTCTCTCTCTCTCTTTCTCTCTCTCTCTCTCTCTCTCTCTCTCTCTCTCTCTCTCTCTCTCTCTCTCCCTCCCTCCCTCCCTCCCTCCCTCTCTCTAAATTTGGGGATAAAAACTTTCTGATCTCAAACTTTCAATGTTTCTTCCTCAGGTGGGTAGGGACCACAATTGTGGGCCACCACCATCTTAATTCTTTAGATTTTATGAGTCGGTAATTCAGGTTTTCTTTACTATAACAAATCTCCAGATAGCCTCTTCCAGAGATTCAGGCTCAAACAATTATTTAACCAGAAACAGCCACTTCTTTATAGTCAAACAGTTTGACTAGACTCTTCTCTGAAAGAAGGGTGATGAGCTAGTGAGGGGTGAGGGACACTAGACCCATCATCCAGACCAAACAAATACAGAACCAACCTAACATACACAGCTTCACCAAGCCTCTGGCGGTACCTAGGGTAACTCGGTGGCATGCTGCATTATCTATGTAGGTTCCTCTCTCAGACTGTAGTTAATGGACACAACATAGTTCCAAAAGGCAAAACTGTCTATCATTACATCAGAGGGTCAGGAATTCAGAAGGAAGTAACTAAAATTATACAGCTGTGTCTCACCATTGATGTCACCACCAAGGCTGGAGAAAATCCCATCGTGAGATAGAAGAAAAGTTCAACCACTTTATACCTGCAGGAACACAAGAGGAGTCAGACACACATTCCAGGAATGCTTAGATCATGCCCATGCCAGCCTCCCCTTTCTTCATTTTGAAAGAGAAATATACGCTTTTAAACTACACCAAGGAAACACAGTTCCCAGTAGGAGACCACCGAGCCTCTCCCTAGCATACCAAACTGAGTAATGGTGAGGTAACATTTCTTCTACGATGAAAAGGCCAGAAATTGACACAGGCTGCCTAGAACAGATCTGCCATCAAAGCTAGTTGTAATCTAGTCCAGTACACTATTTTTCCCTTTCTCATCTCGGGTTGGTCCACCACCAGTTCCATCCAGAGTTGAAATGGTGAGAACGGGTGGAAACAAGGCTTTCTTCAGGGTTGGAGTAGCAGCCAGAGTAAAGGATGTGTTTCCTGTTTCTCTTCATTTTGCACATGTATTTCCAGTCTCGTCCCGTTAGGCTACAGGACATCTGAGATCTCTCAGCCCAGTGGAGGAAGAATGGGCTCCAGAGCTTGGTTTACCAGAAAGGCCTGTCTTTACTTACTATGCTATCTGAAGGGTATCACCTGGGAGTGTGAACCCAAGAAGCAAATGTTCCCTTGGATTGATATGCATTACATAATACATTCAGCATTCATTACATTCAAAGGGTACTTGGAGTCAGGTGTCTGTGATAAGCTCAGCATCCAAATTGTCTATTTGGTATTCTCTTTGTTTAGATATGGTTTAGGTGGCTATGTTTGTGAACTTCATGAGGGTAGCCTCTGACACTCCCGGGAGATACAATCTCACAGCAAAGTTTGTTTTCTTTTGGCTCCTACTAAGAATGTCCCAAATGGTACATTTCAATATGCCTTTGTTTATATCACTCATACTTCTGACTACAGCTATGACTAGGCGGGGGAGGAAGCTGTGTCCAGTGTCAGCTCCTTTTCTCAAGGATTCTCCAGATTTCTATCTTGGGTAAGTTTTGTGCTGTGACACTTAAAATCCATTATCCTTGATCTCCATGGAAACGAGGAAAAGGCTATTTTCCATGTGAGATGTCTATGAAACGGACAGGGCTAGCTTGCCTCCAGATGAGAAATGAGGTCCCCGAGGTTCTAAAATGATGGGTCGCATTGTCTTTCAACCTCATCATGACATACATGTGCTGTCTGTGCTTTTCCACCCCTACCTGTCCAGCAACAGTGAACACCAAATGGAGGGAAAGATTTACGCAGAGCACTATATTTTCTTTTTATGTATTTCTACTATGGTGAGGCATAAGCACAGAGGAAACTGTACTGTAACACAGGAACAATTTAGGCAGTTCACTGTTAAGCAATGGAATGGAAATGATTTTTCTCTTACTTTTCATGGTAGAGAAATACATAAATGGTTCCTCCAGCTGCCATGAGCCAGATAAACCAACGCATATGAGATGCCAGGGGTCCAAGTTCACGGAGATTTAACCTACAAATGTAAATGATAACAAAGGGTAAATGACAGGAAGTCAGAGCCCACGCTCTCCTAGTCACAGGAAACAGAACACAATAGCCTAACAGGCCTTCAACACAGCAAGGAGGCGTTTGGGAAGTTTGGGTGAAATTAATCATCCAAAGGTAAGATTGTTGTTGGTCCAATTTTAGTATTAGGAATTAAACATGATTTAAAAGTAGCACGATCTGAAAACAGAGATGCCGGAATGCCGCTGAGCCTGCCTTTCCCTAGCTGGGCGACTGAAGCAAAGGCTGCGACAAGCTGTTTTGTTTCTGACCAAGCATCTGGAATGCTTACAAAGCTTATTGAGAACCCAGAATAAAATCCTGAACCAGGATCACATACCCACAGTAAGACACCTAATATACATGTCTCCTTTAGCAATCTCTCTGCCAAGACAAAACATGAGAGCTCCTCTAGCATGCACTGCGGTACGTGTCTTGTCACAGTTCAACATACCACAACTTCATGTGCCCTGGTATATTAGGAATAAATATGAAAAAAAGTTCAGTTTGGCTCTAACTATAAAATTAATATCCCCAAATGGAAAATTAACTATGGACATATCTAAAACTACCTGGGCACGAATTTCCTACTCGATGCATGATTGTTCAGTTCCCATTGAATTCTTTAAATGTATTTACTTACTTTAAATTGCTTCACAAAAGCTTTTAAGCATGCTAGCTCTTATATGAATCAGACCTATAATTTAGTGCGAGGTAGTGGGGAGACCTTGCACTTCTTTTTATTCTAACAGCTAATTACATTTCTTTTGAGTGACTGAGCCTGCACGAGCCAGATTCTAGAGGCTTGCTGTTTCTACTGACTACTGCAGCGGAGGGCTCAACAGGATGTTCTGAGTGTTTAAGACTGGGCCAGGTCTTAATAGAGGAAAACTAAAGTGTCTTTAATTTCGGTTTTTAAAGCAACAAGAGGCTGCATTTGATCTCTGACAGAAGGGCAGTAAGATCAAGGGAACTGCACAGGAGACTAAGTAGTTAACTAGTGTAGTTAGTTACTTACTTAGCAAAAGAAGTGGGAAAGGTGCAGGTTTACACCAGCTACCGAGTGAGCAGAAACAAAGAGTCTAAAATTTCAAAAGGAAGCCTGCTTTTCCTCATACGTATTTACAGTATTTCCATTTGCCAAAGTTCACCGGCAAATATTCTGAAAAGCGGCAGAGGTAGATGGGAAGACGATGTGGGGGGGGGGGGGGGAGCCTGTGAGCTACACCCAAGTCCATGGCACCTCCTCTGAAACGATGCCATGCCAGAGAGCCCTTCCAGGTGCCGAGTAACCAAGTAAATCAAAGTATGCAGGTGGGGGGTGGGGGGGAGCTGGGGGGGTGCACGTGTGGGAGGGGCGGAGTCATGCAGGAGGGCTGTGGGGCAGGATGGAGAGGAGGCGGGGCAAGAAGTGAGGACTTCTAATCACAGACACTTTCCCAGGGCCCACGGACTGTCTCACCATGGCGTGTAGGAAGCAGCAATGAAGAAATAGATGACCATTCGATCACACATATGGAAACAATGCTCCACCGTCCTGTTGGGGTAAGTCAACACGGCAGGCAAATTGGTCAGAACTTTCAGACAGGAAGTGCGAGCCGACCCTCTACAAGGCCACCGTCTCCACTCATAACTCGCCCACAGTAAAAGCTTTACATTTTTAGGCTGTACATACAACGGGCATAAGATGGTGGAGCCCCACTATAGCCAGGTGATGTAAGTCTTTTCTGATGTTTTCCTTTTCTTTTGGAAGATGAAATTCTGTGAGGGAAGACCACTGCATGGTTCCTATCACAAAACAGTGCTCCTCTGTCTTAGCATCCAGCTAATATGTCCCAAGCTGAGGTCAAATCCTTTCTCTACACTTGTTTTTTTGACAATTTTATATACACACATAACACAGTCTGTCATACTCATTTCTCTACCATCTCTTACCGGCCCCAACTCCCCTCTCTTCCTTCTACTAGGTCCCTGTCCCATTTCCAAGTCCTCTGTTTTGTTTTTGCTGAGTTTACATTCTTGTTTTTTCACACATCTTTGACTTTAAACATGCCAAGGCAGACAGTATATGGTAATCAGGGAAAATCAGTCATTTAGGGCAAGCAATAAGAGACATAAATATGGCGTATGTGCTGTAAATGGGTAGGTAGCCACTGTATTTCTGAACTGGTCCAGAGTCAAAGCCAGAAAATGTAGATAAAAGATCCGACTCACTGAGGTCGACTCATAAAATGTCAGAAAGACCCAGTATTTTGTGGAGGTCATTTAAAATTAGAAATGCATGGGGACAGAGAGATGGGTCAGCAGTGAGGAGTGCAAACTGCTCTTCCATGGAACATGTTCTTCCAAAGGACCTGCGTGTGGTTCCCAGCATCCATGTCACACAGCTCACACCCACCCATAATTCCAGCTTCAGGGAATCTGATGTCCTCTTCTGGCCTTGGTCAGCACATACACATGGCATACATTCACACACATACACATACATACATATAAGTAATCTTTTGAAATATGAATTAATAAATAAAAATGTAAATGCAGAGGATGGTCTTTATTGTTTTGAGATGTCTCATATAGCCCAGGCTAGCCTGGAACTTGTAATGTAGCTGAGGCTGGGCTTGAACCCTTGGTCCGCTTGCCTATACCTCTCACAGTGCTGGGATTACAGGCATGTGCTACCTTGCCCTGCTCCACAACATTATGTTGAGTCTATTTTTGGTTTCTAGGAATGTAAAAGCTACCATTTTGTGGGGCTTCAGCACTCAGCATGGCCTCACTGTACACACTGCTGGGCAAAGCAGATCGACAAGGATGTGGGAGTGAACACGTGAAAGCCAGATTTGTGAAGAATAGTGCAGAAGCTGCAATTGACTCCCTGATAATTTAGCTGCAGGTCTAACGAAGCAAACGTCCAATCGAACTTCACCACCTCTGTGAATCACCTGGGAACAAAAGTAGTCATCTCATGGATGCAAGACTCTACTCTGAAAGAGCTGGGAAAAGAGCACAGAGGAGGAAAGAGAAGAATTTCCATTCCTTATTTTGAACTCCTGAGATCATCTTAGTTCCGAGCAAGGCTTGAGGACTTCCTAATCCTGCTTTCTAGACATTGTTAGGGCAGATATTCAAACCTAGAACCTCCCTCCTGCTCTGCTACCAGCTAGCCTGTGTGACACAGGCCTGTAATCCCAGCTACTGGAATGCTAAAGCAGGATGATTTTAAGGCCAAGGTCTACCTGGGATACACAGTGACTTCAAGACTGTCCTGAGTAGCAAAGTGTGTAACTTGTTCTCAAGACAAAAAGTAAAAAGAGGGCTGGGAATGTGGCTCAATGGCAGAATACTTGCCTAGCATACATGACATCCGAGAGTCAGTCCCCAACACCACTTCCCCACAAAACAAAAAAGCTCCACCAGCCACCTTTCTGACTCACACTATTGCACAAAAAGGGGACCAATCTGAGCACACAGAACACTAAATGTGGGAAATGTAGATAGGCTATGTTCTCGGTATAGTACCCAGCACAAACTCAGAAATTGGGACTTTCCTTCTCTCTCCTAATTCTAGACTTTGTCGGGCATTTAAAAAAAAAAAACACTGACTGAATGCTGAGCAAAAAAAATCTACATGTGGTTTGTGATTCTAGCAATGCTCTTTCAAGGTTCAAGAGAGTCTTGTTTCTATTATACCTCCTCTCCAGCCTCTGCCAGGGAGGCCCCGAATACTGAAGTCGGCATCTACAACTCTTTATTGATTCAGAAGCCTAGACATCAGAGCCAAGTGAGCCGAGGCAGCCACAAGCATCAGGCCGTGCCAAGAAGATAATGAAGTGCTCTGCTTCCAGACGGGCCTCTGGGTCCTGTGACTATGTGTCCTGGGGAGCCAGCACAGGTACTTCTGTGACTCTCCTGTGAGGATGCCCCAGAATGCCCTTGTGATTCAACGCTGTGGTTTTATTTGAATCCTAGGGAACTGTCACTTTATAGGAAAGGGTAGCAGAAAGCAAGCTTCATGCAGTATTTTAAAGGATATAGTGAAAAGGGATAACCGGGTGCCAGGCCTCTCCCCAAGCCTGCCTCCTCCCCAGAAACGGTTTTTCTGTTGTTTGCTTTGTTTCTGTGAGCCAGAGTCTCGCTCTGTAGCTCACTAGAACTCACTTTGTAACCCAGGGTAGCCTCACAGGCATGCCATTTCTCATGTCTCAGCCTCCCAAGGACTGGAATTGTAAGCATGAGTGCCATCATGTCTGGGGAGACTTTTTTTTTTTTGACAATTTATGAAACCAAAGGTCTTACATTTCTGTTTCGAAGCAGAGTCTAATTTATGCAGCTCCAGCTGGCCCCAGACTTCTGTTCTTCCCACTTCTCCTTCCTCCACACTAGGACTACAGGTGTGTGCCACTATGCCCAGCTCAAGTTTCATGCTCCTTTGAATCACCTGTTACCTGCTCCAAGTCCTCCATTCCTTTAAAAATTGTTTTCCTCTTTGGGGTTTAATCTACTCAAGTATTGAAGGTTTTATTTAGTAAGCACACATTTTCATATAAATAATGCTCTGTCTTCCAGCCTAATACTGACACTTTTACATTCATATTGGGAGGCCAAGGACTACGAAAATGTTTGGAAAGTACCTCACAGTCAATCTTCACCATGATGTATCTCCTGGTCACCACGTCCTACATTCTACACTTGTCACATTATCTTCATATTTATCACCTTATTCACTTTAATGCAGGACAATAAGCTTATAAGGTAACATAACAATCTTCAGTTTCATAACGAAGAAACTGGGGCTCTTTCTGCGAGGTGGAATTACTTGCTCAAGGTTAAAAGTAGGAGGACTGGAATGCAAAGTTCAATGGCTTTCCTTGCTGGGCCACAGCTATGGCTCTCTTAGCATTTCTGGTGTGTATGAGATCGCTGGAAACTAACTTGCTCTCAGGATCTTAGCTGTAAGACCCAGAAAGCCAGCTAGGGTACCGCTTTCTTAGATGCAAACAATGCACCGGGGTCTTCACAACTGCCCAACCCCAAGAGACTGTCTAGAACTCAGGGACAGACAGCTCAAAGCCTACAGGATGGGAGAAGGCCCACTCGCCTCCTGACTAAACTGTAGCAGCCCGGGAGCTGAGAACACACTTCGTCAACTGTGTGGATATGCACAAGAAGTGCACTGCCCCGCGTACCTTAAGTGGCTCTTTTTCCACGACACTATGTGAAACACTGTGGAGACGATGAAGAGGGCACAGAGGCCCATCCCGTAAATCCATGCTGTTACCTTCTCCCAGCAGTCATCGGACAGCCGATGGAGGAGGGCACTGCCCACGATGGCCGGAACGATGAGGAACTGGGAGGAAGGGAAAGAGAAATGAATGCCTTGGTGTCTACGGGGTCGAGACTTCTGCTTAAAAATCACGGAGGTCTGCCAATTCCAAGAAAGGAAGCTTTGAGCGAACATTTGTCCCCCTTGGCTAATCAAAAGGAGAGAAGCAGGTGTTCCTGCTCCAGGGAACTGGGCCAACCGACAAGCGCACAAACAAGCAGACACAATGTTGCCCACAAACAAGCAGACACAATGTTGCCCACAAACAAGCAGACACAATGTTGCCCAACTGTTGCGAAACAGTTGTTCTTTATCCTAATTTCATCAAACAAGAGCACAGTCCATTCTCCTCTCTAGCCTGATAGACAGGAGGTATTTCAAATATCCAAACATCAAGTATGCCGTAGGCTCCCCAGAGAGGTCCTCACTTCCAAGCATTCCATCCTGGCCTCAATCCCGCTATCTAAGGATACATGAGTGAATCAAATCCATACTCTACTGTATAAAACACCCCCACTCCCAATCAGCTGTTGGATTAGTATGTCCTAGTTTTTAACTCGGACCTTGCTCATTTTATCTATTTGGGAGTCCCTGCAGGGCAAAGGGGTTGGGGGCTTTCATCACTTTAAATAGTACACATTGAATTATCCATCCCCAAAGCCCAAAGTTTGAGGAAACCCAAATCTAAGAATTCGGACTGCCACTTCCTCCCTCCTCCTCCTCCTCCCTCCTGTTTCCTGCCTCTCCAACCACTAAGTAGGCAAGGACGACATTGAGCTCTCCCTTCTCCACCTCCTAGGTGATGGGATGACAGGACAGTACCACCGTGGTCAGCTTCTGTGTTATATTTTACACCACAGACCCAAATTTCAACATCAGATGCCAGTTTCCATTGGTCTAGTACAGCACAAGAGCAGGATGAGCAATAATGTTTTTTCATAAGGAAAAACTTATTTGTCTGAAAAAAAAAAATACCCTTAGAGATTATGTCCCTTTTACTCTTCTCATGTGAAAGCACCCTCTCTATTTATGTTTGCTTGTGGTCTTGTTGTGTTTTGAGACAGGCTGGCACAGTCCTTACTAACCTTCAAATTGCCAGCATGCATCACCACACCTGATAATACCTTCTCTTTAAAGAAATGGTGGCGGTAGATATAGATACTGTCTTCAGAAATTTCATGGGTCTATAATGCTCCCAAATATGCGTATATTTAACACGATCACATATTCTGTTCTAAAATATTAGCATGGAGCTTTTATCAGTTTTTACTAAGTTTCCGTTTAAGCACAATTCCATAACTTATGACATGTGGAGAAAAGGTAAGGAGAATTCAGGTCCGACCTACACAAATGTTATTCCTGAAGGTAGGCTGTGTTATCTAGAAATCCAAACCACCGCACTGGCCCAACCCCATCCGTAACATAAGCCTCGTCTAAATAGTCATATTTAGTGAGTGTTTAGAATAACACAATATCTCAGTCACGATTTCTCTCTCAAGGTCTCACAGGATGAAACTTCCAAAGAGAATCGTAAAACCAAAGCTAAAGGAAATGGATAATGACATAGGAAAATGCAATGGCCACTGTGAGGGTGAGAAGATTTAGCCTCCCTGTCTCAGAGAATCATTTGGTAAAACAAACAAGACCCAAGCAACAACAACAATTAAAAAAAAAAAACCTCTCATTTTCAACAAACCATGACTTGCCCTTGCCAAGTAAGCCCAGCAGCTAGCTGTCTTGAAAAAGCAGTACCTTTTGTTCAAGTGCCACAGCATCCATAAGCCAGCTTCTTTATGGTCCCCTCACCAGGGTACTTACTTCCTACTATTCTTCTGAAGATGTATTGAGGCACACAAGTCCAGGAGAACATGGGCTATGGGTTAGAGTGTTCAATGCACTCTCTATGCTCACAACTTTGAGATTCTAGTGGTAAAACCCAGCACTGACACTCCGGTACTCCCGGTCACAAGGATGAGCAGTTCCAATCACTTGTGTTGAAGTCACTAGAGAAGGCTTTTGTCCCACCACAGCCCCGAGTGAAGGATGGCGACAGAGAAGCTGTACTCACTGCGTGTGTGTAGCAATTAGCAGCATGTTCGTAGCACGTTGGTTTGTAGCGGCCATTGGCTGGGGCCCGATGGTTCATGAAACTATGGAAACAGAGAAGCCATCATGTGAGACACGCTCTAACCTGACCTTCTCTTCTAAATGAAAAGGTTGCTGTTATCAACAAGAAAAACCAAAACCATTAAAGAGGTGTCGACTTGGCCCGCAGCACTGAATCTAAAGCAAACATCTAGTTTATTTAATGAAACAGCCCTTGAGTTTGCTCAACAGATAAACCTCGTGCCAAGCAAAAGCAAACAGAAACTCTATCAAACTCAGCTGTACCCCCTCTTCCACATCAAAGGGGTGGTGCATAACCAAGTTTTAAATCTTAAAAAAAAAGCAAGGATTTCTGCTCCCCTGCACCCCCTCCCCCAAATTTTAGTGATTGTCATTAAACAAAAGAGTACACGCTGCATTTGAAAGGTCTCTGCTTTCTCACTTGGAACTTGTGAAGCTTTATGTATGCAGAGCTGGAGAGCCTGCACCCACATCAGAGGGCCTGCCAGACTAGTTTCCCTGTATTGTATTACCTGTTCTGGCACCAGGCAGCTTATTTGATACCTGGCTGCATCCAGGCCACCTAAACAAGGAGGCACATTTTCACCTCCATTCTCCCCAAATGAAAAGAGTTTGCTTCAAACACCGCACACATTATCAGTACCTGATGTTGTGGCTCTAAAATGCATACACACAGCCTGGCACACCCACACGGATGCTCACGGCCCAGGCTTCCCTTCAAGCTAACCTTATCATTTATCAGCAGAAGGATGAAAATGTGCAGTCCAGAAGACTGCTGTTCCAATCTAGCAAGAGGGTGAAGAGAGCCCTCCAAACCTAACCCCACCTAACGCCACCCTCATACCAGGTTCTGGCGATGTCTGCAGTCTGCATCATTCTGACTATTCTCTGGAGGTTAACATGTGTGCAGAGAGAGAGAGAGAGAGAGAGAGAGAGAGAGAGAGAGAGAGAGAGAGAGAGAGAAATAAAAGAGCAAAGCAGAAGGCAGAGAGAAACAAATGGGTAAAAGCCTTGACAGCTTTGAAATTCCAGAGCTCCACCTGTCAACATGCTCAGCACACACACACACACACACACACACACACACACACACACCCCCCAAAAAAACCCCAAAATCCCAAACCAACAAAAAAATCCAAAATGAACAAGCAAACAAAAACCCAAAGCAAAACAAAAAAGCCATTTTTAAAATCCAGATAGTGTGGAGATTGTTTTTGTTTGTTTACCAGTATCCAATCTGACCTATCTTTTTTTTTCCAAACAAAAGACAAACTAATATTTTCCCCCTATTAGGAGGAACCTGGTATCCTCAGATCAAATAATGGAAGACACAAGAGGTAGTCCCTGAAAAGCCCATACCCAGTTCAGGTTGGGCATGGCACAGTGAAGATATTTCACTTGGACTAGTTGCTTAGCTAGACCCTATATGAACTTACTGAGTGTATCCACTAACCAGCTTGAAGAACAAATGACCCCACCTAGTAGCTTCAGAATTTATCCAAGCTATCTTCACACATGGATGTGCATGTCCCAGCTTACCCTCCTTTCCCCTGGCAATCCCCTAAATTATATCACTCATTTCCTATGGGACAGAGGCACTGCTCTGTAGCTCTTATAAGTAGAAAGAAAAATAATTACACCCTGGGGAAGAATGCTTTCATAATGCCCCAAGCACCCGAGGGTCCACCACATCCTCAGCCCGAGAGGCAACAACTGAGCTCCGAGGCTCATACCCTACTAGGAATTTCAAAGGGTGGAGTATGAGCTTCCAAAATGGTTGACGTTGGATCAAGCCGAGAGTGCTCCATGTAGGGTGAAGCAGGAGCTGTCTACCCACCACCAGGCTGCTGACTAAAATAGCAACTTATATCTCAAGCAGCCCTAGTCTAAAAATAGTCAAACCATTACACAGCATGGGGGATAGGCTTTCACATTTTCTCCTGCAAGCAAAGAAGCTGTGTGGCCATGTCGGCTAGTCTCTGCCCGGCAGAAATCATTCAGGTTAAAAATAAAGTGGGATGGAGGGGAGATGGCTTGGGGGGCAAAGTACTTGCTATGCAAGCATAGCACAGAGACAAGTTCAATCCCCAGTATGCATATTTAAAAAAAAAGTTAGGCATCGAACATGCACCATTGGTACGCGCACCTGTAATCCCAATGCTATGAAGATGGAGATAGGTAAATCCCCATCACTGGTTACTTAGCCTAGGTTACTCAGTAAGCTCCAGATTCAGTGAGTTACTCGGTCTCAAAAACTATTGGAGTGATTGAAGAAGACACCTGTTGCTGGCTTCTGGCCTCCATGTGCACGCACGCATACAATACACACATGCACATGAACACATATACACACATCTGTGCATACACATGCAGTGGAAAAAAGAAAGAGGAAAAAAAAGGGGGAGGAAGGGAGAAGCTACAGAGAAAGACATTCCTCTCTTGTGGTCGACATACCCTGTCACGGTGGATGGATGAGCTTTATACTATAAACAAAGGTAAAAAAGCAACCATCCTGGGGACAATGTACTCTCTGGGGCTCAGTGAGAAAAGAGGGCACAATTGTTCTGCTGGGAAATGATAATACAATTTTTCAATTTCTCTTGATCTGCCAGAGTGCAATCAAGCCTCCTCCTCCGATTTCCGAAGAAACCAATCCTAAGAGACCTAAATGGAAAAGCAGATGCAAAATGCAAACTCCCACACTCTGAGCCTACTCTCTTCAACCCCCAAAAGAATGAAAAAGGGTTGAGAGAAAAAGGGCCCCCGTTTATGGAAATCATCTGTACCTAATGAGAAAGCACCCTAATGGCTACTCAGTGCCCTGGGCAGAGTAGCCAGCATGCAGGGGTGCCCAACCTTCTCACACCGTGACATGATACTGTCATCTACAAACATCTCAGGCCTCATTCACAGCTAGCCTGAAACATACGTGGGCCATGGATTGGATGGACACACCTGCAGGGGCTCTGATTTAGTTCTGGGCGTGGCAAGCATGGCAATCACATTCCGTAAGGCGAACAGTGAAGCGGGACTTAGCTACTTTCTTTCCCAATACTCTCCTTTGCCTCCGGCTTTTGGGTTATTCTTATGTGTTCTTTGCCCTACAGCAGAATTCCAAAGCTATGGAGGGAAAGAACGGTTCAGCACCAACCTTTATACATCAGCACATTAAATCCAGACCACAGCACTGGACTCTGTGGCGCTGCAGGCCGTCCAGCAGAATTCATAGGCATGAGACCAAACGCTACAGGTTGAGTATCCTTTGTTGCCCACTCCCCAGGTCCAAATATTGTCAACAGCGCTTTCAAAATACATTCAAAATCAGCTCACCACTGCAACTCCACATAACTGAAACCAAGACCAGCACGCAACATCTCCTACCTGTGAAATTGTAGCCTCATAACTGGCCTTGTTGCCTGTACCAAGACAGATTCTTCTTCATATGGCAGCCATAACTATTAAAAGCAGATCATATCATGCACCTCTACTTAAAACTATCTTTCAGCCTCCCCAAATGCTTAGGGTAACACTTCGACGCACCCCTGACCCACAAGCCTCAATAGCCATTCCCCAAGCTCAGGGCACCACCTCCTTGTCTATCTGCCCTCTGGCTAATACTACCTCCTTTCTGTTCCTTTGACGCAGAAAGGCCTTATCCGCTTGAAGGCACTGACTGTTTATTTCTCCTTAGAACATTCGACTTGCTTCTCTTCCTTCAAGCTAACTCATGTCACTTGCTAAGAGATCTTCCAGACACCACAAAGTATGACTTTGGCCTTGCCCACTAAAGCAGAGTCCTTACCGTAACAGCAAGAACTTGGTCCCTAAACATTTTCTTTTTAATTCCATCTTTTCACACTATAACACAAATCTCGGAAGGCGGTCTTCGCTATTTTATTTCCAGTTTCGAGCACAATGCTCATCTTTTGCTGCAGCTTAATTAATAATTTTTGAATGGATGGATAAAAACACAGCCCTCCCAGCTATGGAGATAAGCCATAGTCAATTTGGCTGAGATTGCACGGGATCCATAGAGAAGGGCAACAGACAGGCAAGGAGCCAGAAGAACCCTGAGTCTTATGAACAGAAAACTCCAAGGCCAAGGCAATGAAGATCCCCAAGGCCCCTTCAACGCCATTGGATGCTGCAGCTTTAACTGACTCTATGCCCAGCGCCTGCTACCATGCTAGCTTCCTTTTAGGACTGAGTATGACATTGTTCAGACAGTGCCACTATCTGTGATGGCACTCTTGGCAATCACTAATGGGAGAAGGAAGATAGACGACCACCCCATTCTGTGGTTCAACGCTCTAAGAACCGGTCCAAAAAGACATCAGACATGCTTTAGATTGTGAAGAAGACGCTTTCCCACGCACTCAGTTTAAAATCTAATCGGTAGGGTAGTGACAGCTGGGGCTGAGGAAGAACGATCCTTTTCCAGCGGAGAGACAGAAAGTGTGAGCGAACAGTGGCTGCAGAGATAAGAAACGGAACTCCAAGGTCTGCCTCTGCCTACCTGCAGCACTCTGGACGAGGACATTGTTACTCTTCAAACTTATCTGCTTTTCTTTCTTTTTTCTTTTCTTTTTTTGGTTTTTTTGAGACATGGTTTCTCTGTGTAGCTTTGCTCCTTTCCTGGAACTCACTTTGTAGACCAGGCTGGCCTCGAACTCACAGAGATCCGCCTGCCTCTGCCTCCTGAGTGCTGGGATTACAGGCATGTGCCACCACCACCCGGCACTTATCTGCTTTTCTACTACTTTAATTCGACAAATATGCAGGTACCAGCCAGTTGCTGCCACAAATGGGCAGTAACTGAACGGTAACAGTTACTATCAGGTCAGAGATGTTATAGAAAGGAAGGAGTAAGTGAGTGTGTGTGTGTTTGTGTGTGTGTGTGTGTGTGTGTGTGTGTGTGTGTGTGTGCGTGCGCACGCGCACAAGCAGGAACAAGCTTAGGTGTCTTGAGAGACTAGACTGAAAGGAATAAAGCAAGGCACAAAATACGCTGCATCCCAGAGGAATGTTTTCACATCCTACGTTTTTTTTAAGGAGCCACTTTTTTTTTTTTTTAACTGTTCCCTTACAATCTTCCTCCATATAAAGGGCAGGAGTCTGGAAGAGAATCCAAAGCCACAGTAACCACTGAGTGTCCACTCTGAGTAGATCTGCAAGGTGTTCTTTTATTTAGGCAGAGCCTAAACTATGGTCTAATGAACTGTTCCTCAAAGAGCACATTGTTCAAAGACGACAGTGTGTCGTCCCCTCCCCCTGTCCCCCTGTAGCTCCTGTGTAATCGACCTGCATGTAACTATGGTGCATGCACACCAAGATATTTAATGAACACAAAAATATGTGGAAAACTACTTTCAATATTTTAATGTGTGAATCATAATAATCAGGACTCTTCTAGCATTACTTTGTATTTGCAGGCTTATTTTCAAGTCGAATTGATGCTTATAAATAGCCTTCCAATCTAGACTATAATAGAAAAACAGATAATGGAGGGATTATGTCAATCAAAATCAGAGGAGATTTAGGGATCATCAAGAAAGAAACCACTAATATTGGTAGAATACAATAACATGTAACCACTCAAATATTACATTCTATGACACTCCAAAAGATAATCGCTGTGCTTTCTAATTTTTGAATGGGTAAAAGACTCTGAAATAAGATGACAGCAAATACTGTCCATCAAAGAGACTGCTCAATCAGCTGAAGTGGTTTTTATTTTTCCATTCTAGAGCTGTTTGAATGTTGGTGCAACAAACAAAAACAGACACTTTCCTCCTTTTTATAGAAGTATTCAAAGGGACAGAAAAGAAATACAAACTCTTGATCAAAACGGGAAGGAGTAATTTCTCAGAATATAGCCACTGTTCTCTGAAACCAGGAAGCCCACAGACATGCAGAGAAGAAAACCAAATCAAACAAACCACACACACACACAGGGCATGAGGTTCACACATGTTACAGTCTCTCTTAAACCCATGAGGTTCTAAACCAGAAAGAACAAGTCCCTTTTGCCTTTGGCATGGATACGTAGTTCCCCTCCAAGAATAGTGTCACTCAGCTGCCAAGTAATAAGCAATATTCAGAAGGCAATCCAAATCTTCAAGCTGATCCCCCTCTACTGATGTCAAAGACCACACTCATCCTTTGTATGTATTGGCCCCTTTACACTTTTGGACTGGTGAGGAATTAGATAAGCATTATTAAATGGGTGAAAAGACCAGACAAGAAAACTAAATTGTGAGTTTATATTTTGACATTTAAAGAAGAAGAAGAAGAAGAAGAAGAAGAAGAAGAAGAAGAAGAAGAAGAAGAAGAAGAAGAAGGACGAAAGACGACTACTTTAAACTCAATAGCCTGTTTTGGAAGATTTCACGCATTTCTGCTTTTGGATTCCATGGCACCTCACAGTAAGCTAGCCTGTTGGTGGTGGTGAAGGGCTGGGAATGTGTCTGGCTGCCAGGCTCAGACAAAGGGATGGAGAGTTACCAGAAACCCGACGGGTGAACTTTCACCCACTTAAAAAAAAGAAAAGCCCAGAGCTTTCTTTGGGAACAATAGGCCAGAGCCTTCATCATTCCTTCCGGGCAGGTACCTGGAGAGAAGGGCCGCCGTGGCCCTCCAGTTCGGGCGTTCCCACCACCTCTCCAGTGTAGAGCAGCCGACAGGCCTTCGGTGGCGCCTTCTTGGTTTTTCCTCCCCATTTCCTAAAGACAGGCGTCTCAAAGGCAAGTCTCTCCACCTGAAATGCTAACTTGCCCCTGCCAAAAAGCCCCCAAATAGCATCCCACTGAGCCCTTAGCCTGAGAACCACTAGACACAACACCATCGGGCAAAGCTGGATGCAGGGAAGACTGCCTCAGTTTCCCTGTATCTAGGGCCAGTCACAGACAAAACACCTAAAACGCTCAGGCCAGACCCCCTACCGTGCAGGAAGACAAATATCGCCACAGGGTGCTGGAGCAGCCCCAAGAGATCTCACACTGGGGTTTGTACAAGGATGTTTGCATAAGGCCCTGAATGACTTGGGGGGCTCTGAGGCTGGGTAGGGGCGCTTGGATCTAGCAGAAGCCATGTCTGGATGGGGAGCGCAAGGGCCAATCTGGGTGTGCAAGCCGATGGAGGAGGCAAGGCAGACGCGGAGTCCCGGGGCACAGATCCCGAGCGGCTTGGAGGAAGGGGATCGCAGGACTGGGGGTCTCCCCGGGAGCCGGTCCGGGTCAGGGCTCGGGATTCCCCGGGATGGAGCACGCGCCCTGCAGCGCTCTCACCGCTGGAATCGATTCCTGAACCGCATTGATCCTCCGCTCCTCCGCGGGGGCCGGGAGCTCCGTCTCGTCTGCACCGGCGGCGGGGCGCGCGGGCCTCATGGGTTTGAGCTGCTCCCGAGGCCGCCGGCGTGCCAGGCGGGAGCCGCGTAGCTGGGCTGGGCCGGAGTGGGCCACGCCGGGGGTCAGCACAGGGCCGGAGCCAGAGCAGGCGGCTGGGGGCGGGAGGGAGGCCGCTTAAACGGCCCCGGAGCCTCCCGCCTCCCGCCTCCCGGGCTCCTCCGCCCCCGGGTGCCCGCGCCCCGCCCCGATGCCCGGCTCCGCCCCCGCCCGCTCCGCCTTCTGCGTGCGCCCGCGGCCGCCTGCGCGTCACCGCGCCCAGTGGCCAATCAATACCCGGAGCGGCAAGCGGCCCCGCTGCCATTCATTTCCCCTGAAGCTCGGAAGGTGGGGCGGAACCTCACGGAGGAGGGGCGTGGTTAGCGGAAAGGGGCGGAGCGCTGGAAGGGCGGTGCTCTGCATTAAACCTTTGAGCTGGGTGAGCTGAAACCGAGAGGAAGAAACATTGTGTAGGAGATGGCCCCATGATCTTAAAAGCAGCTGTGCAGGAAGTGGCAGCAAGCAGGGACCTCTCTCTGCCTTCTAATCTTGGCCCCGTGCCGTTTATTCATCCTTCATTCAGTTCCGCGTCCTTCCTTCCATGTAGTTCTTCACCGTTTACGCTACCGTAAAGACAAGTTTTTAACATGTCCATCGTGTGAAGAAGAGATTGGAGTCTCTAAGAAAGAGAGATTCTCCTGGACAAGTCTTCTTACATCACCCATTTTGATCTCTATTTTTTAACCTAATAAATTCCCAAGGAAATCGGGGCCCTTTGGGGAACCCTTTTTAAAACCGAGAGGACTTGCCAGAAGAGCAGTTTGTAAGGCGAGAGGAGATAAGAGGTAGTGGACGAAGTCAAGAATACTGGAAATAGAAAAGTGGTTGACATTTGCAGAGCCTGGCAGGACCACTCCTGGAATCTAGGTGTGCTCCCCTCCAGGAATCCTGCTCACACCCATCCCCCACTCCTCAAAACACCTTCTTGAGGTCCCTAGGGCCAAGTTCCTAAGAACGTTTCCTCCGCTTGCCGTGAATGAACCATCCGGAAGTTGGGGAATTGTTTCACCCACTATTCTCTAGTTTCCTTTTCTTTAAGTGCCTAGAGGTACTTTCCACAACAATTGCATTGATCTTGGCAGGAATCGACATCATGTTACTTGTTTCACAGGTAAGGAAGCCAAGGCTTTGGAAGCTGGTGGTGCAATTCACTATAGCTAAGTTATTGAGTCAGCCTAGGTGTCCATGAAAGGATGTAGAAAGAAAATGTGGTGTGTGCATAGAGGCAGCATGGAAAATCAGTCAGCCATAAGGGAACACAAACAAAGGAGGATATGAGAGTAATCTGACTGTACTAGGTCAGGCCGTTGATCTCCAGGGTTGAGTCCTCTGATGGAGCTGGCTAGGCGGATATCTGTTTCCTTGTTTTAGCTCCAGGTGCTTCCATTCCAAAGCTGCACACTTGGCTTAAAAGGACAACCACTCCCAATCGAGGAGGACTGGATCACTCTTCAGGCACGGGTCTGAGTAACTACGTTTCTCTGAAAGAACTCCCAAACAGACTGTCAGGAGGAACAATGTCATGCATGTCCTCAGTAGGGAGATAGATAGCATCGTCACATGAAGTGAAATAAACCAGACTTAGAAAGACAAATATCAAATGTTTTCTATCATATGTTAAATATAGAGAAAGAAAAAAAAGTCTTCAGTGTAGAAGGGGATCAGGGAGAAGGGAGATTAAAAAGTGTATGGGGGTGGGGATAAATCTGTTCAAAGTATGCTATAGGTGTGTGTTCTAGTTTCATGTCTGTTGCTGTGCTAAAACATCCTGACAGAAAGCAACTGTGAGGAGAAAGGAATTTATTTGGCTTACAATTCCAAGTTCAAGGCAGCCTTATTGGGGAGTCCAGACAAGAACTTCAAATAGCTGGTTACCTCACATCTACCGTCAGGGGGCGGGCAAAACGTAAATGCATGTATTTTCACTTACTTGTGCTGGCCTCAGATTCTCTTTTCACACAGTTCAGGAGCCTTTTGCCTAGAGAATGGTGCTGCCCAAAGTGGGCGGGGTCTTCCCACATCAGTGAACTTTATTAAGACAGTCCTCCGCAAGCCATCCCAACGTAGGTGATTCTAGGCCGTGTCAGGTTGGAAAAGCTAACCGTCATGGCATGTATGGGGAAAATGTCACAATGAAATCTATTATTTTGTGCAACGAGTATCTGCTGAGTGAAAAAGAAACTTGCCTCATGCAAAACAGATTCACAGGCAGCTTCCTCTCACACTAAGCCCCAGAAACCTTCAGGGTGCCAACTGCCTCCCCCAAAGCTTTGAAACAGTACATTTCTGAACACAGGCACTTGACTTCTTTCCACTCACGGCAAAGCCCGGCAATTAGCATAGACTGAAGATCTACCAGTTGGCTCCTTGACACTCCCCAGCTAAATGATCAGTGGTTCAGGGGATGGTAACAGTGGAAGTAACTAAAATAGATAAGTGACAATTAGCTGTGTGAAATGATGACATAAGGGACAGGGACAAGGAACCATAATTATAACAAATGTACCACTTCCTTGGGGAACAAAAGGGAGGTTCTATGTGAGAGGGCATGAGAAGTCTCTGTGCTTTTCTTTCAGTCCTTGCTCCGAACCAAAACCTGTTAAGAAGATTTGCTTTTTTTTTTCTTTAAAGAAAGAGAAATAAAATGCTGATGCACATACCTCAACATGAATAGACCTTGAGGACATTATGTGAAATGAATGGAACCAGCGACAGAGAAAGGGTCACATTTGACACAGCTGAAGAGCCAGCCAGCCTAAGTTCAGTGAGAGACACTGTTCCAAAAGTAAGGGAGCAGAGGAAGAGAGATACCTGATATTGACCTCTGGCTTCCGTACAGATGTGCTCCCGTGTACATAGGCACATACTTGTGCTCATACCCACAGAAACATGTATATACAACATACACATGCGAAGTGAGATGCCCCCTTCACGTGTGTTTATGAGAAGAAATCTCAAGGGTATGCATAGAAAAGAAATACTGGCTTCAATTTAGAAACTGAGATTAAGATAGTGGGAGCTAAAGAAAATGAAGAGGTCTGGCTGGCTTATTTATTTATTTATTTTGGTTACTGGTTGTGGGTTTTCTTTTGTTTGTTTTGCATTAGCAGAACATAAACGTTCTTCTTGGGCTTGGGGATATAGGTGTTTCTACAAAACTGCAGACACATTTGCAAGAACAACCTGTTCCTTGCGTGAAGAGATTTGTCATTGTGTAGACACCAGATGCTGAAGCAGCTTTTGGGAGAACACCTGTTCTGCTGACTGAGGTACACAGGGTCCCTAGACAGGATGCTGATGAGACTAGCAAGCACCTGGACCCTGCTTCCCTGACAGTGATGGACCACTCAGAACTCAGACTTTGCCTTGAGATGCCCTTTGAGGGTTAAATGAACTTTTCACTCAGATGTGTTACTACTACTTTATGATGTGTTTGTACAAATGACAGGGTAAAGCAACCACTTTAATGGAAGTCTCCTGGCCTTCCCCCTTGCTTCAAAGGAGGAATGCTGCCTTTTCCTGTTCTTCTACCCACATTCCCTGAGCTGGGAAGATCTGTTGTCTCTGTATGCTCAGTCCCCAGGCTTTCCCGATGAAAGCAACCGAAGAAAACAATGGAACATAAAATGATGACCTGGGGAAATGGGAGGGACCCAGATACTATGATGACTGATCTTTAGTGTCAACTTGACTAGATTTGCAATCACTCAGCAGACATGTCTCTGTTGTGTCTTTAGTGGAGCTTCTGGGAAGGGCTGGACTAATGAAGGAAGTCCCTCTCTGAATGTGACTGGAACCATCCCATGGCCCAGGCTCCCGGGCTGAACAAGAAGGGGGAAATGAGAAAGCAAGTTGAATACCCATGTTCATTTCTCTGCTCAGGACCGTGGACAGTGTGGCCAGCTGCCTCTCAGTCCTTCTGTCATTCACCTTTCATTTGTTTTCTTGAGGCAATGGAAATCAGTAACTAACACTTGTATGTCGTCTCTATTGATCTTTCTGGTGAGGATGAGTAAGAGAAAAGAATAGTCCATAATCCAGAGAATGTTGGTTAAGGTGTTTGAAGAGCTAGGGAGGGATTCAGCAAAGTGTGAGGGTTCATAGATGTGTAGGAAGGGACAAGAATGACAGGAGTAGGAAAAACATTGTATTTCCCAACAAGTAAAATGTAGAGGCCTATTAAAAATGATTATTATCATTGTCTGTTTTCTAGTATTGTTTTTGAAAATTCTCCTTTTAGAGACTGGATCATATGCAACAATTTGGTAAAGTGGTTACTCAGATTAATTTTTTTGATGACCTACTTTTACATCCATTTTTTCATTTTTTTTCCCTTAAAACCATCCCGCCAAAGCCAGGCAAAGTGCCACACACCTGCACACCTGTAATATCAGTTACCTGGAGGCTGAAGCAGGAAAACATGTGTTTAAGCCAAGAAGTTGTCAGTCAACCTAGGCAGCCTAGTACGACCTCATCCCCCATAATAATAATAATCCTTCAAGAAAATGTTGTGTCTATTTTATAAGTGAAGAAGTGAAAGCATTAAGGGAACTTTGGGAGTCGGTTTGATTTGTAAATGTAAGTGAAAGGGTTAAGTGTATAGTAGGCTTTCTGCCCCCAAGCCCATGCTTTTCATCCCTCTAAGCCTCCTCACAGTATGTGTGTAACTCTTCCCTGCATGAAGCAGTATTCTACTCTCAATGGGAAGTCAGTATATGGCCTGGACTGGCTGTAGTGTTTGCCCGCCCCCAACCCAACTGCACTAGATCCACATAGGATACTCCTACAGTCTCACGGTGTTCTTGCTGACTATAGAAGGTTTGGGCTAGCTGCAGCTCTCTTTTTAGAAGAAGGCTTGGTAGGTGCAGATTTGGGTGAGCAAAGAAATACTCCTCAAAGCAGAAGTTAATGGCAGTGGTTGTCACCACATGGCTCTGAAGCCACAAGAGCATACCACGGACTTACGGTGGTCTGTACAAAACCATCGTCTATGTTTTTTTTTTTTCCACTGAAAAAAAGAAAGAATAACAGGTTTTCAAAAAAAATCTGGACGTCCTTGAATTTGGATGATATAACCATCTAATTCAACGCTTCTTGCTCTTATAGGGATATTAAGAAGTCAGTGGGGACAACCGTGGCCAAAGTGAACC